AGGACAAGGTGGAAGATGTGAGCCTTAAGACTGTTCAAACCATCTGCTCGGAACTCAAACCAGGCAAAAGCATCCTCCATGACCAACCTGAAGGTTGTTACAGGTAGCACGTGCAAATAAAGGGCAGATCTGGGCTTTTTCTTTGCAGCATTAAAAGTTTATTCTTACTGAGAGGAAAAAAAAATGGACTACTGAGCATCACATTTACAACTTCTAATTCTGCAAAATGGGGGCAATGATAGTACCTGCCACTATCATTGGGAGTTGGGAGAGAATCAAAAATGTAAATTAAACTCAGAGGGCCTCAAAACAGTGCTATGCACACAGACATGCAAAACTTGTTATTATTGCTGTTTAAGGTAATGCATGTCTAGGGATGATTCCAGTGGGAATCAATCTTTTCACCGGGCTGTTGCTGCTCTTCAGAACTTGGATAAATGCACCACTGTGCTCCCTAGATATTTAACAACCACAGCTCAAAAGCTGGCTGCCATTTGGTACCCATTTCCAGCCAGTTTTGTTTTGTTTCATTTCAGAATATTCAGTAGTTGTTCAAGACACCCAGAAGAAATGGCACTACAAAAACTGTGGCATCTTATCATAGTAAAAACGCTTTTAGTGAATCTTTTGGACATTGCCGGTGATGTTAAAATTATATTAGAATCCATGGAAATGTGATTTGTAAGGCAAATCTTTTTATATAAAAAAGGAGCAGCTCCATTTTAATTTGGAGAATCGTGAAGTGCCTCTTCCATACGGGCCTTTCGGTTTGTTCCCACTGTATGAGTCAGTATGGATTAGCATGTGCATTTTAGAAATGGATGCAATTAAAACCGAGTTTAACACCCAAATTCACCAGTCTCTGGACTGACACAGATCATCAGTGAAAAACTCCCCAATTCTAGCCCTTTGTCTAGTTCCTCCATCCACACCTTGGATTCTTGGATTCTAGCCCCCACTTAGAATGTTACTCACTATAATCTCATTTCCTCTCAACAATTTTTTTTTCCAGTGCTAGGGATTAAACCCAGGGTGGCATGCATGTTAGGCAAGCCCTCTCTCTACTGCAAAGCTATATCCCCAGTCTTCTTAACATTTCTAAATGTCAACTATTATTTGCTGACTACGTATTCAGCCACTAGTTTCATGAGTCAAATATGTAAGTACCCACCTGGACTACAAATATCGAAGAGACAGTCCCTGCTCTCAAAGAGCTTATAGTCTTAAGAGGGAGACAGTTGTTTAAACAAATCTGGGCCAAGGTTGTGAGGGGAGAAAAACAGGTGCAAAAAAAAAAAAATAGAAAGAGGTGGGAAACAATTCTCAAGGGAGAACTTAATAAAATCCTCTCCCCAGAGTGCAAGCCCTTTTGCTAGGTCTGTAAAGATGAGGACAGCTTCTGTAGAATAAACTAGAGGCATATTTACCCCCAGAAAAGCTGGGAGGGGAATGAGCTTTTCATGCCCTGCCCCATAGTGGGGAGTCTCATATGCTTTTTCACATGCATCCTGGAAGCTGAATTCTGAATCCTTCTAGACAAACTAGACAAACTAGACTGAATCCTTCTAGACAAACCCAGAGAAAATGATCGCGACACCCTGTGTGATAAACAAGACATCAACTGTTAATAAGATACAGAAATGAGGAATCAGATCATTTGGTTGTCTTTGGATTTTAGTCAGTAAAAATATAATTGATCTGTCTTTCGGGTCATGGAAACAGTGCTAGATCTCGTATTCATGTTATCATCCGCGGCCAAACGTGATTCAGAAGATGACGCCTCTTCCTCTTTCTCACACTTAGAAATGGCAGGTGGCACAAACTCCAAAATTACTCATGACTGGGTTAGAAGAGGAGAAGAGAAGCAGAAGAAAAGAGAGTCTGGGAACAATGTTTTGACCAATGTTTCTTCATGAGTCCAGTGAAGCTGAACCTCTCTAACACAAGTTTCTGCTGCTCCAAACATTTCCTTGGATATATTGTGTCTCCATTTTTAGCAAAGATATTCAGGATTAGGTTAGGTAGCAACTTGAGCCACTGAACACTCATCTGGAAACTTGTCTTGGAATTCTTTTCTCGGTGGAGATTAAATATCTTGGAACAAAGTTGAAACAAAGGTTAGAACCGGGACTGTCTGAACACTTGTCCATAAAGATATGTGGTATGTGGTGTATTTCCTTCTCTGCCAAATGTGATGTGCAGCTCATAAATGAAGTTTATGGGAAACACAAACCTGAGTGTCTCCTTTTGATATTCCTCGGGAATGCAGCCTTATCTAGTTAGTGTGGCCTTTGAATGCTGCCAGCTCCAGTCCTCTTTCGTCAGTTCAATAAAAGCAATTTGATCACAGCCAGGCAGAGCCCTGGGACTCTTGCAGCTGCTGAGTTGGTTTGTTCTTGTTAGAGGGAAGGTATTATGTTTACACTGCTTAAACTCCAAACCATGGATTGAGGAGACTGTGATGAAATCTGGGCTCTGGTATGCTGACTGCAAGATAGCTCCTGGAGCTCTTTGACTTTTAGTTTCTGCTCCCTTGTGTTATTAATCTCCCTTATGCCCTGATTCTAAGGAACCAATATGGCAAAAGTGGTGGGATGTCATTTCCAAGATTAGGTTTTTAAAGTCTGGAACGCCTGTCTTGCTAGCACTGTCCTTTATGAGGGTTTTCTCACTGTATGTCTCTTCTTGTTGGCTCAATTGCTCTGGGGAAGCAAATTGCCATGTTTTGAGATGCCCCATGGAGAGGCCCATATGGCAGGAAATAGAAGGTGGCTTCAGGCTAATCGCCAATGAAGAGTTGAAAAGGGTCTTTAGTCCAAAAGCCTTCAAGGAACTGAATCTCATCAACAAGTCTGCATGGGACTGTAACCTGGGAGAGTCCCTGAGATCCTGAGAAGCTATTTCTAGGGTTCAGCTCTATAGAAACTGAGAAAGTAAATATTGTTTCAAGCCACGGAGTTTTGAGGGACTTTGTTACATAGCCATGAGTAAGAACAACTGATTACAGAAGTAATAAGGCTTCGGGTGGGGCACAAATATTGGAAAAAGAATACATATATACATTTGCATCTGAGTCACCAACTCAAATGGTCTTTGTGACAGATGTCTTACATATATTGTCTATAATAATTGCAACAACCTGGCAAGGGTAGTGTTGTTCACATATTTTGGAAGAAGTAGATATTCTGGAAATCCAGTTACTTGACTCAGAACATATGGTTAGAAGATGAGAATGATGAGAGAGACCAGAGAGACTCCTGCTCTCAAGTCTGGCTCTTTCCTTTACATTTAGAGATAAGAGGAGGGGGCAGAGTTGGGGGGCAATCAGAATCACCTGCAGATCTTTTCAAAGTTACTGATGTCACTCTCCTTCTCTAGAGGTGCTGACAGTGTGAAGTGAAATATATCATAGTGAGGTTTACAGGAAAAACACTGACCTTACACAAGTTCAGCCTTACCCTTTGCAGCTGGGATAAGTGAGTAGAAAGTAAATTTTGCTCATTCCTAGAAGTTTCTGATGGAGAATTTGGTAGCCTTTAGAAGCCTGCTTAGAGAAGTGATCTCGTGACTTTGGTGTTCTGGTCTTAGGTTGTTTGATGAAGTTAAAAAACAACAGTGCCCAGGGTTGCTATTTGATGGTTTGTATATATCATCCAATGAGTGCTAAACCCTACCTCACCTACAACCAGGAGTTAGCAAAATGAATTTGGCTAAACAAGCACAATTTGGGAATGAAAGGGATATGTGGTGAGCTTTACTTCATTTAGTGTAAGAACAAGATTATTAACAAACAAACAAAAACAAAACAGAAGGGAACATTGTAGGACTGCACCTCAGGAAGGTGAGTGTTGTCCTGTACTCTCCCATGATGGCTCTGAGAGCTGAAAAGAATGTCTGACTAGCTCCAGCAGCAACTCCAAGGTCTCTCTTCTATCATGAGTCCTTTAGCCCTTGCAATGGCTTTCCCAGTCTAGCCCTAGAGAGAGGAGAGATGGTCACTTCCAGCCAAATACGGCACATTTGAATTATTTAATAAGTGCTTTACATGGAGTGAAAGGGCTTCTGTGGGCAGGACTTGTAGAACATAAGAAGTAGCTCATGGGTCCTCGTGCAGGTCATACCTTGCTTTCATGTCAATGGCTTCTTATGTTACTAGAGGACATTGTAAACAATTGACAAAGTCCATAGGTTCTGCTGGAGGAGATGATTGGAGAGGCTTCTCCTTCAACACCTTCCTGCTACCTCATTGGTTTTTTTTTCCACTTGGGATACCTGGGATTCCCATGACCTTGCATATTCTAGGCCAGCTCTGCCACTGCACAACACCACAGCACTACCTCGTTTCATTTTACATAGGCTTTTCTGGGCATCATTAACCAATAGTTAGTCACCAGCCACATGAGACTAGGCATCAATTGCAATGGGGTTAATGGGACTAAAGAAGATAATTTTTTGGGGGGGGGTATGTATATGTGTGCTAGGGATGTAACCCAGGAACTCAGGCATGCTAGGCAAGTGCTTTACCACTGAGCTACATCTGCAGCCCAGGAAATGAAATTTTCACCCAATTTACATTCAATTAATTTTAATTTATATGATTATATGTAGTTGGCAACTACTGTGTTGGATAGCACAGTTCTAGAGGCTGTTCTCATTATACTGGTTTTTCACTAATTTATTTTTAGTTCATGTTTGTAGAACATTTTCCAAGAGTCAGGCACTATACTTATAATTTTGCATATATTCATACAATTTTCACAAAACCTGATGAGGCCCATAATATTACTTACATTTTCCAGAGCAGAAAGTTGAATCTTAGAGAGATGAAGTCAACTGCTTCAAATCACAGAAGCAGGAGACAGGATTAAAAAAAAAAAAGTCTGTCTGGCTCTAACCTTTATTTCCTATACAGAACAATGAGACTGAGTAGGAATGGGGCGGGTGTGTGTGTTTGTGTGTGTGTGCGTGTGAGTGTGTTAAAAAAATGGACTCAAGACAACTAAAATATAACCCTTGTTATAGTGGGTTCTTTCATTTTATTGCTTATTGTAAACAGTTTGGCCACAGCAAATATGTTAGTTTGTAAATCACCATAATTTAAAGCTTTCACGTCACTTCCTGTTTCCCCCTGAAGTTGCATCGTCTGTGAAAATAATCATTGAAGTTCAAAAGTCTATAATGTGCACAATTGTGATACTGTTACACTAAACACAAGTAGTAAAAATACTCATCTATTGTAGAAATATAGGTTTGTATCCCTTAAGGAGGGCATAAATACAGGAGAGATGGTATGGAATGAAAGGGCTTCTGAGGGCAGGACTTGTAGAACATAAGATGTAGCCAATCAACACCTGTTGATGGCAGAGATGATGAAAATCAATTTCCAATGGTCTTTCCTCTGCATGTTTTCTTCAGGAATATACAGTGTATTTGCAATCAACATTCTCAAAATTGTGGAGACCCTGGCACATTCAGTTTCATAGCTGCAGTGTAATTGGATCTGATCACACTTGCAGAGGAAAAAAATAAATTAAATCATATGTGCTGTTAACATTGTGCTAAATACTATAGTGAGTCAGGGAATCTTTCAATAGAATAGACTGGAACTCTTGAATACTGTTCATGTTCATGAGTAAGAAAATCAACTGTGCCTAAAAATCAGGCAAGTGATTTCAAACAAATCTAGCCTTTAGACCTCACAAGCAGGCTATATTAGGCCAGATCAATGTATTTCTAGTACAGATATTTGAATGTATATTATATAACCAGTTTCCTAACTATAAGTGCCAATACTATAATTTATACCTTAAGGAATTTCCTTTGATCGTTTTATTTAGCAAAATTCTTAACAACATTTTAGGATTTCACCAAACAAAGGTGATGATAGTGGATTAAGCATTTTAGGTTTAATTGTTTAGTGACACAAAAGTCCTATCATCTATCCCCAAAATTCAGTATGCAATTTTAAATATATGAAAGGATCCATATAAAATATAAATGTTAAGGTCACTTCCAGCCAAATATGGCACATTTGAATTATTTATTAAGTGCTTTTACATCTAAAGGTAGGCACTTCATAAAATTTACATTTTGGTAAAAGGCAACCATGTGATGTCAATATCTTATCCTTTTTCATTTGTTATATAACTTTTTCAAGAGAATAGATAACCATAGTTTTACAAAAGAGGAATATAAATTTGTCTCAGTTACATTTAAATAGACTCCCACAGAAAGCAAACCAAATTGTATTTTTCCCTTTTCTTTTTGTTAATCTATTGTATGTTTTCATGGTTAAGTTCTGAGATTTTACTGATATAAAATCTATAGGAATATTTGCCTTCTTATCTTTTACTTTAAAGAGAAGCTTTTATTGCCTGTAGAACTTGATACAATTTCTCCTTCATCACTGGAAAAACCTCATAAATCCACTGACCCAGTCAGATGATTTTTTAGGAGGTGGCAGCTGACACTGACGAGTATTTGGCTTGTAGCAACTGTGTTTTAACTCTCAAAGTAAATAAGTAAGAATCAATTGTTGCTTTTATTTTTAGAACCATAGAAACTCACTTGCATTAAAAAAATGAGCAGAACTTTTGGGTGTCCAATGGGCTTATCTACCATTTGATTTAGGTATCCTTTCTAGATCATATATTAGGTTCGTTTTGAAGTCTTCATAAAAGGAAGCTTTACAAAACAGTTTTGTCCATAAGAAAGCTCTAAATGCTGTTTTTAAATAGAGGGATACCTTGGAGATATTGTGGGTTCAGTTCTAGACCACCACAATAAAATGAATAGCATAATAAAGTGAGTCACAATTTTTTGGCTTCCCAGTGACTATTAAAGTTAGGTTCACATTGTACTGAGTCTAACTGTGCAATAACATTATGTCTGAAAAATACTTTATTGCTAAAAATGATAAGGGTCATCTCAGTCAGCATTCGATCATAATATTTTTGCTGGTGGAGGGTCTTTAATTCAACTTTGGTGGCTGCTGACTGATCAAAGTAGTGTTTAATAAAGAATGGGGAGGAGGTTGCAATTTCTTAAAATCAGGCAAAAGTAGAGTCTGACACATAGATTGACTTTTTCATGGAAGATTTCTCTGTAGCATATAATGTTGTTTGATAGCATTTTATCTACATTAGAACTTTTTTCAAAATTACAGTATATCGTCTCAAACACTGATGCTAATTTGTCAAATAATTTTTTGTACTATTCTAAATCCTTTGTGTTTATTTCAACAATGGTCACAGCATCTTTACCAGGAGTTGATTCTATCTCTGTAAACTATAATTTTTTTTAAAAGAATTTCTTTTCTGAGTAATAGATCTCAATAGTAGGCTTAAAATATTCAGTAACCCATGTTGTAAATAGGCTTTCTTGTTCCATGAATAGAGCACAAGAACAGTATATTCAGTATAACTTTCAGGAATTTAGGATTTTTGGAATGGCAAATGAGCATTGGTTTCCATTTAGAGTTACCAGCTTAAGTATTAGTCCCTTAAAAAAATTGAATCATCCTGTTCTTTGAAGCTCTGAGGTCAGACATTGACTTCTACATAGCTCTGAAAGTCCTGGATGGTATCTTCTTTCAGTATAAGGCTGTTTCATTGACATTAAAAATATGTCGTTTAAAAAACTAAAAATAAAATCTGTTTAGCCTTTTCATGAATTACCTGAGCTAGGTGTTCTAAAGAACTTGCTGCAGCTTCTTCTATATAGGCACTTGCTTCGCTTGTGCTGTCTTGTTATAGAGATGGTTTCTTTCCTTAAACATCATGCACTGAGCTCTGCTAACTTCCAACTATTCTTCTGCAGCTCACGCAACTCTCTTGGCCTTTATCAAATTGAAGAGAGGAATAGGCTTTGGCTTAAAAAAATGTTGTGGCTGGTTTGATCTTCTATCCAGAAAGTTTTACCCACTAAAACGTCCTCTATACCAGCAATCAGGCTACTTCTCTTTCTTATCTTCACTGGAGTAGCACTTTCAATTTCCTTCAAGATTTTTTTTTTTATATTCACAACTTGGTTTACTACTGCAAGAGGCTGAGCTTTCAGCTGTCTCTGCATTCTACATGCCTCTCGTTGAGCTTGGTTATTTCTAGTGCATGATTTAAAAGGAGAGATCTATGACTCCTCCTTTCAGTTAAACACATAGGGTTATTAATTGACATAATTTCAACTTTTTTTTTTTTATATCTTAGGGAATAGGAAGTCCCAACGGGGACAGTCAGTTGGTAGTGCAGTTGGAACATTCACAATATTTACCCTTTCTTAAGCTCCTTGCCCTACTTGGGCACAGTTTGTAGCATATCAAAACAACTGCTATAGTAACATCAAAGATCACTGATCACAGATCACCATAACAGATACAATGATAAAGAAAAAGGTTTGAGATATTGTAATATCTCAAAATGTGAGACAGAGACAAGAAGTGACTGTATACTACTGGAAAAATGGTGCTGATGAACGTACTCAATGCAGGCTTGCCATAAACCCCCATTCTGTAAAAAAATGCATTTTTTTGTGAAGCACAGTAAAGAAAAGTGCAATAAAATGAGGTATGCCTGTACTAAAAACCAAAGTCCCCTCTGGTAACTTCCATCCAGTGCCTCAAACAGTGCCAGGCACATATTAGGCCTCAGACACTCAATATATATATATTAATAAAAGAAAGAAGGAGCAATTCTGGTTCTGACTTTAAAGCTACATAGAATAAAGCTGTTGGCTTATGTAGTCTGGGCCATTCTCCTGTTCTACTGCAGTCTTCTCTTTTACAGGATCAGTACTGAAACTTCCTTCATCTAGTCTTTAAAGAGCAGTTATGAGAAGTTCTCTCAATCTCATTCCTCTTCTTTGAATGTGCTTAAGTGGATCAGATCCCTTAAAACTTGATTCTGAAGAACCATGCATAATAATCCACATGGGGTCAGCTCTGATCAGGGTGGGAACCCTGTGCCTCTTAGCACAGACAGTCCACCAGAAATAGTATCTGACCCATAAAAGTATTCCTTAGAGCAACCCTTTCCTGTTTGTTTAGGAATAGAGGCATTTCACTCTAGGCAAGATCATTGATTGACACATATTCTGTTCCAGGAGAAACATTATTTCCGTGAATGTCCAGGATAAGGAGGGGGTGGAGAATGCTGTGCTGAGGCCTGTGGAGTTGGGGAGTATGGAGGAGGCAAGTCTGTACAGTATTCCATCTCATGGTCGTAACCATAGGGGGGTGGTGGCACTGCAAAAGAAAAGGAAGAGACCATCAGGCATTTGGAGAGTATTCAAGAGTCGAACTTGGACCACTGGACTGGGTACTTTGAAAGGGAGCATAATTTTTGTCTGAAAAAGATTTTTTTTTTTCAGGTCAAAAATACGTACTGTGAAAGGATAAGTGTTGTGAAATGTGGCAAATGGATGGAGGTGTTTAGAATTGGAGGCATAGGAAGAGATCCTGGGAAGTATGATGCTGAGGAGCATAGAGAGAAAAAGATGAGGAACAATTCAAGTTTGACCCAAAGCAAAGAAGCAGGAGAGAGCACTGTTGTTTAAGCAAGATGTCTGTGGAGGGGAAATAGGGAAAGACATTGTGGAGTGTGGCTACATTATCACGGCAGGCTCTGAGTGTCTTTATGGTGTGCACTGCAGAGTTATCAGAGATGATTTTTAATATATTAGTGAATATGCTTAGGGAAAAGGATTCCTTTTTTTGGGGGGGGTTTAGGGGTACCAGGGATTGAACTCAGGGGCATTCAACCACTGAGCCACGTCTTCAGCTCTATTTATTGTATTTTCTTTTAGAGACAGGGTCTCACTGAGTTGCTTAGTGCCTTGCTTTTGCTGTGGCTGGCTTTGAACTTGTAATACTCTTGCCTCTGTCTCCGAAGCTGCTGGGATTATAGGCATGCACCACTGTGCCTGGCAGGAAGACGATGCTTTAAGCAGCATGGACTCAGGAAAACTGAAGAAAAGGTGAACTGATTTAGGAGCATACCTAAGAGATGTTTTAGTCAGCTTTTTCCACTGCTGTGACTAAAAGACCCATGCAAAACAACTGTAGAGGAGGAAAAGTTTATTTGAGGGCTCATAGTTTCAGAGGTCTCAGTCCATAGACATCAGACTGTGTTCTTCAGGGCTCAAGGTGATGTTCTTCAGAACATCATGGTGAAAGAGGGAAGCAATTCACATCATGATCAGGAAGCTGAGAGAGACTCCACTTGACAGATACAAAAACATACCCCCAAAGCATGCTCCCAATGACCCACCTCCTCCAGCCGCACCCTACCCACCTTCAGCTACCACTCAGTTAATCTCTACAAGGGGATTAATTCATGGATTGGGTTGAGGCTCTCATAACCCAATCAGTTCTCTCCTGAACCTTCTTGCATTGTCCCACACATGAGCTCTTGGGGGACCCCTCACAGTCAAACAATAATAAGGGATTCATGATGGTGAGGAGAAAACATTCACATATGCCCTGATGAGCCAAGCATTTTGAGTATTTAGGTGATTAGGGGATGCCTGGGTATGTGGAAAAAGGGATGACAATGGAAAGAAGATGCAAAGGTATGACTGCTCCATTGATGTATCAGTCTATCTACTCTATATGACAAGCAGGTTTCGGGATGATGAATTTAATTTTCTAAATATTTGAAAAAATTGTCTTAAATTTATTTATATGTCAGTGTGTTTTAAAGTCACACTTAAAACACTTTATGATGACTACGTATGGATGTCTATTTTTTTAGTGATCTCAATCCTGTCTCCAAGATCCGAAGAGAGACCCCCTTTAAGCTGAATTTCATCCAGCTCTTTGAGGAATTAATCACTCTGCAACAGCTGAGCAACCCCTCAGCAGCCACTCTGAAGGTATGGCAGAAGCTGAATCATGCTCAGGATCCTGGCTGTGTTTGGAAATCAACATGCCTTAATTGGTTACTGTGAATCCAGCCTCAATCTCAAGATCTGTGTCATGATAATGCAAATGAATGGCTAAGCCTTAAACATTAGAATGCAACTATCTATATAAATATATATTTCTAAGTGTCTTCTAAATTGTGCTCCTTCTACTAAGAACTTAGCCATGTTCTGCTAAACAGGGATAGACAAACATGGGGCCTCAACAGCTAGGGTCCTGCCAAGTATGTTTCCTTTTGGATTGCTCTGGCTTGCCTCTTTGTCAAGTGCTTGATCATGGAACCATTTACAGACCTCCTTAGAGTCGCAGGATATGATGATGCGGAACTGAGTCACCTACAGAAAGGGAAAGAAGGAGCCAGAGAACTAAGTGAGATGTTCCTGAGGGCGGTCGCTAAGTCCCTGGTGGACACTGAGCAGGTTGAGGGCTTTCCGCAGAGGATGCAACTCTGTAAAAAAATCGATGAGGGCGTTTTCAGTCTCTAACACTCCTTCAGCCTGCGCTACTCTATGCTGTGTTTTCCACAACACTGTGGGATAACTGCACACTTTCCCTCTGAACTTTACGACTTGTTGGCTGCATTAAGTCTTAAGAGGACTTAGATAAAAAATGTTTATGAAAAACTTTATCCAAATCAAAGAAGGGAACACTATAGACTTCATGTAAAGTCCAATCTGACTCCCCATTCCACAGCCTCCTGTGACAGTAAAACTGTACATTGAGGATTTTCCCCTTCCTGCTTAAGGAACATACTCTGACTTATCCTGCCAATTGACTCTACACCAGTCCATGTCTTGGACTCCTGGTGTGTGTGGCTGTATCCATAACAAAGTGTCTGCACTGGGCCATCTGCATAAAAACTGCTGGATGATGTTTTAGTGAGATATCCTTAGTGTTTCCACAGGTGCATGTTGAACATGAACATCTCAGGTATGAAACAGTGTTCTTTTATACATATAACCTCAGAATTTTGATAAAGCAGTAACATAATATTGAATATTGCATTTTTATCATAACTGTTGCTAGAAAATATTTTCCAATGATACTTGTATACTGGTGGACTTTGTTATCTTTCTTACTGATAATAAGTTCTATTAGGAAGTAAACTTTTCAAGGTATCAATCAATTATAGACTTCTTGATTAACCCTCAGAGGTTTTGTTCTTTTTTTATACCTGAAATAATCTTTGAAAAAAAAAATGTGTGGATGCAGTGGAGAGCCTTTTAAACTCTTTCAAAACCAATATATAATTCTTTGCTATAAGTTGGGTAACTTACGCCATGTCAGATGTAGTTGTCTATAACATAAAAAAAAATAATGGAGGAACACTATAAAATTCAGAGGAGGAATTTAGTATGTTCACCCACTCAGACCACTATTTTTAAAATAGATGCCTGGTGTCATCAAAACTATTCAACATTATTATATCTTATTTGTTTTCAAAATAAATCTAAAGTGAGTTATTCTGTAAAGCAACATTTTTTTGTGTGTGTTTTTATCACTGTATTATAATTATACATAATACTGAGGTTCACTGTGACATATTCATGTACACACATAATTTACTCTAATTTCTTCCCAGTATGTCTTCTTTTCCCTCTCCACCTCTCTCCCCCGTTCCTCTTTCTCTACTCTTCAGTCTTTCCTTTCTTTATTTACATGTATACATTTTTTACATTGGTGAACGTTATATATAAAAGTGGGATTAGTGTGGTATATTCATACGTGAATATAGCATAGAGCCTTTCTTCTTCCTTCCTCCTTGGTCTCCTTCTCTCCTCTACTGAAGTCTCTTCTATTTTCATGAGATTCATCCCTGACTTTTAATACCTATTTACTTTCTAGCTTCTGCGTAGATGAGAGAACAAATATAGGATCCTTGCCTTTCTGAGTCTGGCTTATTTCACTTAGCACTGTGTTCTAAACCAGTTGCATCTGTTTACCCACAAAGGATTTTAGAACTTACAGTGGAAGAAAATCATCCATGATTTTGTCATCTCAATTTGACAAATAAAATCTTTACATATTATCTTCCAGTTGCTTATGTATATTTATATCTTTGCAGTCACATACAATGCCAAATGTTTTTCCACTTTGCATTATATCTTTTTCATTCTGCTACATATTCTTCACAGACTTATTGCTATGGTTGCATAAGATTCTACTGATCATTCAGTTATTTTGAGGTTAAAATTCTTATTATTATAAATATGTGTGAGATGGCTATCTTCTTGCACAGAGACATTTTCGAATGATTTCTTTAGAATAAAATTCCAGAAATTGACTAAACTGGCCGAAATAACATAAATTTTGTTGAGAGCCACAGCCAAAGGGGCCCCAGCAAACTTCCAGCTGCCAGCAAGCTTCAGACTGCCAGCTGATGATTGGCTCACAGCGGCCCCAGCAACATCTAGCTGATTGGCTCCTCTGCGG